CTCCTTTGCCACCCCCTGGCCCCTGGAGCCATCTGAATTTGCAATCTGCCGTGGCCAAGTTTAGCTCTGGCCACCCAGCCTCTCCAGTGGCACTTGGCAAGTGTTCCCTGGTCAGGACAGGCTGGGTCAGGTGCCTCTGTCTGGCTGTGCTGTCCTGCCCTTAGGGTGCTTCACACATGCTAGGAAGTGAGTCGATGGCCACTGCTCTATTGCAGGGATTTGCCACCTTTGCATTCCTTTTAAGCTAACCAGCAGGTAATTTATTGAGATATTTATTCTAGCTTATTCCCCCAGCTGTAGGCAAATGAAAAATTAAATTTTCTCTCCCTCACTCCAATAGCCAAGCATTGTGTCCAAGAGATCGAAGTGACCGTTGCTTGTGGGAGAATTAACAGGCTTTTGTTTTCAAGAGCCTGGTCACATAGAACCCGGAGCTGGATTGTTCCAGAGAGAAAAGTGTTCCAAGGGCTGCAAAGAGGGAGAGTACCCAAGCCAGAAAATAATCACACTCTGTGAGACTCGAGTAGAGAGGAGAGAAGCTGGATTCATAAATGACTTTGACCTTTGCCTCCCTTAAAATGCCCCAAGAGGAGCAGGATCCCGTCTATGTTAGGATTCCTTCTACTGCAAAGGACAGAAGACACAACCGAACAGGCTTAAGGTGGTGATAAAAAGATGAAGGAAGTTGGGTAATTTATTGGTTAATTACTAAAAAGTACATTGATAACTAACTTGGGTATGGTATGATCCAGAGAATCTAAAATATATCATGAGGACTACTTCTACCCATTTCTCAACATTGCATTTTCCTCTCTGTTGATTTCCTTGCCAGGATCCACGTAATGTTCCCTCAGCAGCTGACTCAGACAACAACAAAAAACCTCACTGGCTTCTCAATAGAATATACAGGGCGGGTCAGAAGTATGTTTACTAGTACAAGTTGTTCACATGGAAAACAATACAATAATTAATAAATAATAATACAAGAATAAACTCTGTATTTCACGTACTCACAACTATAAACCTGCTTTTGCCCCACCCTTATGTCAATTACTGAGCTAATCACTAAAGCCATGAGACACAGTAATTAGCCAGTCACATGCTTTTTCTCTGAAACTGGGAGAACCAAGTACTATAAATGGAAGAAAGGGGCAGAGAGGAAGGAGAGATGCTGAGAAACAAAGACCTAATAGAGACTCCAAGGCCACTGGGCACCAGGAGCCAGGGCTTAGGAATCTTGGCAACGGTCTCTGTGCTGAGTTTATCATAACATGCATGGGGTCCACTGCTTCTGAATGGGTCCAACAGAACATGGACAAGAGGTACCAAGAGCTGCACCCACTTGCAGAGAGCCTTCTGGGGGGGGGGGGCGGGGGAAATAAGCCCCTATGTCTCTTGCATAATCACTAGGCAGGAAAGGGGTGCTTGTAGGCATCTACACGTGTACACACAATGATAGCTTTTGCTTTTCTTTTTAATTTTGGCAGATAAAGGACTAAGCCAAATCTGTTAGTTTGGGAAGGTGATGTTTGTAACACCCAAATAACCACACACAGTCGACTCATTTTCGTTATACAAACTTTTTGTCTCAGATCATCTGTTTCCTGTGGTTTCTTAACATCTGCAACTGTATTCCATTCCATACAGTCTCCCCGGGCTGCTTCCATCTGCACTAAGGCAGCTCTCTCCAGGGCTGCTCCATCACCCGATACATTTCACTGGCCACACCTGTGCTGCCGGCATTAAAGCGGGTACCCCATGCAGTCCCGGCTGATGTATAATCTAATCCTAATCTATACGGTCGAAGCTTCAAAAAGCTTCTTCATTTAGGTTAGAAAGAATAATGTTCATATTATGTTCATTTATGTTGGCCCCCTAACCAACACTATCTCCAATCAGAGATTTTTAATATGATAATAAAAATATATGACAGGCTCTGTATGTGGTACTTGTTGGTTTCCTCACTGGAGAACAGTATTTTTCTAACCATTCGTAAGCTCTGTCCTTTTTTCTTTTTTCTTTTTTTTTTTTTTTGGCTAAACTGCAAAATCCCATGCCCTCTTATCCTAAGTTAGTTTGAACTTTTAAACCAAATATTTTGTCCACAATTAAATAAAAGCCAAGATACTTTTAGATCACACTCTCCCCTAAAAGATTTGAGCCAGTGGGCTGCGGGGCACATGGAGGGAAAAGCACAGAGTTCATATCAGTGCACACCGAGGTTCCATGGGTTTAACACCTTTTAAGTCCTTTCTGTACTTCAGTAAAATGCTACTGACCAATGTTACATTAGAAAAACAAATGCTCTGGCCAACTAAAGCCTCAACCTTGTGTGTATAAATATATGCGCACATACATATATGTTGCATGTATGTTTATAAATACACACCCACTTGCATATACATATATATGTACAGTGGGGCCTTGACTTACGAGTTTAATTCGTTCTGAGACCGAGCTCGTTAAGGAGTTCGTTAACTCAAATGACTCTATCAACTCAATGCAAAAAATCGGCCAAGAGACAGCTAGTATCTCAAAAAGCTCATTAGTCGGGACACTCGTAAGTCAAGGCCCCACTGTATGTAATTTGTTCATTCATTCAATAGATGTTTCAACATCTACCATGTGTCTAGCACTGCTGAGTCAAACAGCAAAAAACTCTTAATCTCTCAGAAAAGAAGAAAGAAAAACACCCAGTCTGCAAGTTCGCACTGGAATATTCAGTCTTGTGCTTAGACCAGCAACATTTTCTTCTTTGCTTACAGCTGAATAGCTGCAGGCTTTGTCCCCAGGGCCACAGTGGGGCTCTTCTATGTAGCTGTTCAGACCGGGCAGGGAAGAGGCCCGCAGTGAGCGCAGAGTGGGTGGGGAGACACACGCTCAGGAGCATTCTGAAATGTGATCAACACACACAAGGGAGGCCAGGGTGGTGCAGGAGACCCAGGAATGGGAGGTTTGTTCATGGAGAAGTAGGTGGAATTAAGTGGGCTGAGCCTGGAAGAGAGGAGACCAGTTGGATCAGGGTGAGGGCAGTGGCAATGTGCTCGCTGAATGGATCTGAGCTACCTTTTGCAAGTAGCACTGCTGAGATGTGCCGAGCGGGATGGAGATTGATCCCCTGATTTCCAGTGTGAACACGCTTAGTGGGGAGTGGCGCCACTTACTGAGATAAGGAATGCACAGACAAAAACAAACGCGGGGTGAGAAGGGGAACTAGAAAGTGTTGACTTGAAACATCTGATTATATTTGATTTTTATCCACTCAGGGTCAGGGGAAAGTGCAAAGGCAGGTAAGAATTTAAATCTTGGCTCTAGCACCTGCTACTTGTTGACCTTGGGCAAAGTTACTGACCACTTAGTATAATGGTTGCTTAAATGTCAGGGTTAAATGAAATAATGAAAGTGAATGGGATTGCTAGGCTGGGTTCACAGCCAATACTTAGTGAAATTAGCTAACACTCTCCCCCAGTACCTGTCTGCTGGAGTCAATTATCCTGAGGGGATGAGAGAGTGTGGGTGGGGTACAGAGGCCCCTGGGGGGAAAGGGGAAGATGAGGACCAAGGTGGGAGAAGATAATGCTGACATGCCTTGGTCAGTTTGAGGGGCCAGTTTTGAGTCATCCCCAACCTAGGGTGGGGGTAGAGGGTAGGATGTGGTGGGGTGGGAAAGGGGCAATAGAGTCACCTTGGGTGGGAAGTGGGGTGAGAGTGGGGAGAGGGAGAGGATAAATAAGAAGCTGAGGACACTCTGTCCTTAAAGACCTGTGAGCTGCTTCAGGAGCCAGGTGACTCAACATGATTCAAAATTGGGAAGGAGGACATTCATACCACACCTGAGGGCTTAGGGCACCACCAACAGAGGACAGACAGCTGCACCTGACACCGCTGTGATTTAAACCAAGGGCACCGCTAGCAGGGACAGGATGGACCGCAGGCACCAAGCTGCACCAGGGGTTAGGAAATCATGAATGGACTCGTCCTGAGCACAGGTAAACAGAGATACCTGGGTGACTTTGAGACCATCTGGAACTCCATTGTGAGCAGATGGGACTCCCAGCAATCAAGATGTGAGCTTCAATGTTAATTCAATCATTTTTTACACTCTCAGGCTGGTGCAGCCAGAAGATTGGAGTGGCCAGCAAATGCTAGGTAAGGCCTATGTGGTTCCCTCAGCCTTCCTTTGCCTTTTTTTTTTACAATAAAAGCCTCTCCAGCCCAGATTCTACTGTTTTAGTGCTTCGGTAAGAACTCTCGTTATATTACCTATTGTCATTATCTTGCCTACAGCTGCACATATGTGCACATATGTTCTCTGTTGCCTGGCAACATGAGAAAAAGCTGGTATATGAGGCTAAGTAAGCAGAGTTGATGATGAGCATTCACTCATTCAGCAAATATTTGTTGAATATGAGCCAGGCATTGTGCTGGTTCCAAATCAAATGGTATATTTATTTCAAAATAAACCTAAGAATAGAACTGGCACACCTAGAATACATCTTTCCTTCTGTATTATGTTTTTTACCTTTCGTATGAGATTTAACTATTGGAATAACATTTACCACTGACATCAAAGCGTGCACATACACACACACACACCCAAAAACCTTAGCCACTGCTGGCTAAACATTATAATAGCACGCCTTCCTGCTTTCAAATGTCAGTCACTCTTAAAATCGTGGTTGGACAGGCTATCGCTCCAGTGGGTAATTGAGGAGCATGATCTGGGTTCAGACATAAGCTAGAAAGAAGTGGTGCAAAAATAACTCTGTCCCAAGAGAGCTTTACCCCAGTTGGAAAGATAAGGGATTAAATCGTGGTTGGACAGGCTATCCCTCCAGTGGGTAATTGAGGCGCATGATCTGGGTTCAGACATGAGCTAGAAAGAAGTGCAAAAATAACTCTGTCCCAAGAGAGCTTTACCCCAGTTGGAAAGATAAGAGATACACCTGAAATAACTACATTTCCCCAAGAGACAGGCCCCCAGGCACTCAGTTGGGCTACTCTCCTGGCCCCTTCTGGAGGGATGGGGCCTCGTGACAAGTTCGGTGTCACCTTCAGGCCAATCATTTAACTGTCCATGCAAGACCTTCCCGAGCTCTCTTTCTCTTTGAGTTGTGGTAGCTCCATCACTTTGGGTCCCTGAGTGTTCACCATGAGCAGAGCCCTCTGCCAACCCATCATGGACACGTAGCATTAATGAGAAATAAACCAGTTTTTCTGGTTTGTCCCCAGGGCCACAGTGGGGCTCTTCTATGTAGCTGTTCAGACCCGGCAGGGAAGAGGCCCGCAGTGAGCACAGAGTGGGTGGGGAGACACAAGCTCAGGAGCATTCTGAAATGTGATCAACAAACACAAGGGAGGCCAGGGTGGGAATGTTACCACCCCTGAGCTAGAAGGAGCCATTGAGTTTTGGAGGTTGTTTCTTACAACAGCAGAACCGGGTTTGTTCTAACGGAAACACTAAAAGGATGAAATGGCCTACCCTCTAGAGCACTTTAGAGCATGGGGGGAGGATATTAAAGAACTGAGGCTAACGAATACAGTAGTGTGTGTGTGTTTTTTAATGATATTCTAAAAACTATAAGCTGCCAAGCTTGACATTGACTCTCTACAAGAGTCTAGAAGGAATAGGTAGAGAATGATCTGTGAAAACTTAAAAAAGAAAGCAGGGACCATAAGGAGTCAATGTGGTTCAATGACCACTGCAACCAACTAATTTTCGTTTGCTCTGCAGGCAGGTTTTATATCAGTCGGAGTGTTGGCAGCTAATAGTGTATTCAAATTAGAATGTCTTTCAAAGAGAGATTTATAAAGGGACTATGCACAGAGACTTCGCACAGGACATAGGGCAACCATAAGGAATTGTACAGTACCCTGGGCTAGAAGAGTGGGAATGTTACCACCCCTGAGCTAGAAGGAGAGAGAGTGACTGTATGCCAGCCACACCATCTTTGCTGGAGGGACTTGGCCAGTCTGAAGTAATCTTGTACTAAGGGATCTTGGAAAATAAATATCCCAACTCATCTTTCTCTTTTCCTCCAATTCCTTGTCTCCATTGGCCAACCCCAGCTAGAAATCCAACTAGAGGGCAAAGGGGCTCTTGATGTAGTTCAGATTAGTCAGCCTCCTTGGGCACAGAACAGGGGGAGAAGGGTGGAGGTCACATCTGGGGGGTGGGTGGCAAATAGAAAATATCCAGCTGTGGATTATTAGAGAAATTAAATATATATGATGTGCCTGGGCTTGAGTGAGGTATTTGACAAAAATTGTTAGGAATTTCTTAAGGAAGCAATATAGGTCACACTCTCTTCTGTGCTCCCATAGGACTTTGTACTGGTGCCCTGGAGTGGACGGTGGCCAATGCACTTTTATCAGCATGCTTCTCCATCTCGCTTCTGGCAATAGCACCCTCATATTCTACAAGAAAACTTGCCCCCATCTTTGTTTGGGATGTGGTCAAGTGCCATACCTTGTCTTCCACTAACTCCAAAGATTAAACACCTTAGTTAGTCCGATCAGAGTCCTAGGAACATTCCTGCTGAAAATAGTGAAAAGATGCTATTTTGCCTTTGGTTTACAGTGCTGGGAAGATGCAAGTTTGGAGCGATGGACAGCCACCGTCCCTAGCTCAGCAAAAGAAGCTGCTTACATTAAGAGAGTTTGTGCTCCTCATGCAAAGAGAACAGAAAAAAGGGAAATCTAAAAGAAGACCAAATAATATTGCTGAGTTTCTGGATTAAACTGTTCCTGAGGTCAATCACCTCTAAATTTCTCACTTGTGTGATCCACTCCATTACTTTTTTGATTTTGCTAGTTAGAACTGGATTTCTTTTGCTTACAACAGAGATCTCTGATGAACTTGCCTGTATTATAGAGTTTCCAACATTAACCTCATAGTGTTATCAAGAGTTATTTATAGTTTTCAATCCAATTAATAAAGGCTAGTATAGTAATAAAATCAACTACTATTATTGAGTGCTCAGTAAATGTTCATGAGATGAATGATTGTCACCAAAGTAAATGAAAGCCTGTCAAAGGCAGGGCAGGGCCCAGCTGAGCCCACATAGTCCTGTGACCTTCTCTAGGAACTTCAGTTCTGCCTGCCCCCGCCCCCCATATAACATCTGCCACTAAGGGAGAAACCAAAGTAGCAACAAAAAGGTCAGGTCACTTTCTTCCCTTTCCTGGCTCCATTGCCTTCTGCTCATTCAAGCTGCAATGTTGGGCTTTCTCCCAGGTCACGTGCAGGGAGCAGCTACAGATTTGAGGAAAAGGACCAGGCCTTCCCTAGATAATATTTTAATATCGCCTTAGGGCCCTCTGGGAAGCAGGTACCAAAGTCCTGGCTCTCTCTCTCATGGAGTACTCTGTGGGTTTCTCACAAACACCTTCAGTGGGCTCTCCCACTGCACCTCCTCTGCTGCGAGTGATGCAAACTCGGGCTGACTGCTCACAGCTGGCCCCTCCTTGGGTACATTTCATGCAACCTCTCTGTACTGGCACAAGGTCCTCTGGGCTGGCTCCTTCAAGGTGACTAATGTGCCATGGTGAACACGCCCCTTGCCCTGCCATCAGCACAACCCACCTAATTCACTCCGCAGCCCTCTCTCCTTGCTTGGGCATCAGGCTCACTCCGTGTATGTACAGAAGCTTCCCTTGCCTTGGCTCAAATTGGAGGAAGGAGACTACCTTCCTCTCCCCCACAGGTAGGGAAAGAATCACATGGCACTCCAGTAACTCTTTTCCAAGAAATTCCCACCCCCAGTTCTCTTCCTGCAAACCCTACCTCCTCTTAAAAATGGTCTGGACATTGATGGTAGGCCAAGACTCATGAACTGGTTGGAGATTTCCAGTTCGCAAGACCTACCAACATGGCTAAATTTCTTTCTTTAGAACCTCCCCATGCAATAAGGCAGCCACTAGGCACATGTGGCTATTGAGCACAGGAAGTATGGCTGGCCTAAACTGAGATGCGCTGTAAGTGTAACGAATACATCAGCTTTCAATGTCTTAGTGTGAATAAAAGAATGTAAAAATATCTCAATGATATGAGACACATTTTTTATATATTGGGTGAATTAAATTTCTCGCTAAAATTGATTTTACCTCTTTTTTCCTTGTTTTAAAATGTGACTACTAGAAAATTTAAATTAGATATGTGGCCCACATTACACTTCTATTGGATGGTGCTGCTATAAAATGTATGGGCACAGGATATAGGGCCTGGCCCAAGCTCGGAGACAGGAAAGGTCCCATTTCAGAGTGTTAGGTGACATTTGTAAATCCCTTGGGCGTCTGCCTGGCACGTGTTAGGCACTCAATAATTAGCGTAAGGGAGAGACTTGAGACGGAAGAAGAAATGTTCTTTTGGTGGCAGTAGCTGATGTTGTTAGTGATCTGATTCGTCTCCCTTTACCCACCTGTAAAATAAAAATAATCACTGCTCTGCTGACTTCACAAGGTTGCAAGGCAGTTTGAGTGAAATAGTGTGTGTGATTTAAACGCTCTTTAAACTGCAGAAAGCTGCATAAACAGTGGTTGTCTTGGTGGCAAAAACCATAATGGCTGCAGTAATATGCTTGACTCGTGCCAGGAGGTCAGCCAAAACCTGCCTCGGGAGCCCAGGGCTCCGGTGGGCTGGCCGCGGGCCCAGCCGCTCTTTCCACCTCATCAAAGCCGAGCGCTGGGTCACCGCCAGGTGGCAGTGGAAGCCAAGCTGCTGTCCCCGCCAGGTCCCCTGAAGCGCAGCCCCACTAAGCCAAGCAAGAAGCATAGCTTCCCAGAGGACCCCTGGGCGAAGCTCCTTTTGCATCTCCAGCTTGATGTTCGCCACTGTGGCGCATACAGAAAAGCTTCTTAGACATGGTCCAGCCCTTCAGGAGCTGCAGCATAAGGAAGGAAATCGGCCCCAAACAACCCATCTAATGGTGGAGATCCTGCTTGTCAGAGGGGCGGCTGCCTGGCTGGCCCTGGGGGGAGTTAGGCGAAGCTTTCAGAGAAGTGACATTGAGCTGGGTTTTCTTGCTGGAGGACTCCACTTTGGGCACAGGGTGTGCCGAGAGGCATTCCAGGCAGAGGACCCAGCAAGTGCAAAGAGCACCTGGTGCGTTTGGAGGTGAATGGTAAGAGGGTGAGGGGTTTAGTGAGTGCAGGCCAGTGAAGTCAAATGCCCAGCAATGTGTGTGTGGGACAGTCATATATAATGAAGTGTCCTGCCCTGAAATGGCAGTAGCAGCCGGGCTGAAAACTGATAGTCTGGGAGGGGAAGGGGAAGCTTGGATGTGAGATGTAAGGGGAGAGACAGAGTAGGGCAAGTTGAGAAGGGCCTTGTGGCTAGACCGTGGGCCTTGGGCCCTCCTGCAGTGACTCAGAGCCGCTGAATTTCTTCCCAGCTGCAGGGAAACAGCTCCTGCTGTTTCTGAAACGCTGCAGGCATCTAGGCAGGCTCTGGAGGTGAAGCTCTGGTGGATGTGCTCACACGGTGCCCAGGTATGCTCCTGAGCCTCACCCTCCCCAAGGGCTGGTGTCCTGTGCCTGGCCCCAGCGTGATGCCATCCTCCTAGAGCAGTGGTCGGCACACTCATTAGTCAACAGAGCCAAATAGCAACAGTACAACGATTGAAATTTCTTTTGAGAGCCAACTTTTTTAAACTTAAACTATATCGGTAGGTACATTGTTATTAACTTAATTAGGGTACTCCTAAGGCTTAGGAAGAGCCACACTCAAGGGGCCAAAGAGTCACATGTGGCTCGCGAGCCGCAGTTTGCCGACCACTGTCCTAGAGAAACTCCAGACAGAGTGGACACAAGCAGGCACTTATAAAACATTTGCCAATTTGCATTCACAAGACCTGGTGCACTGGCTGCATGAAGGCAAACCTTGTATGTTAAGTGAAGGCGGCCCCACTGGATTGTCTGAATCTTTGCTCTGAGCCTGTCTGAGGCCTTCATCCCAGGAGGGGACCAAACACTTGCCTCTTAATGATTCTGAGAGCCAGCATTTAGTAAACAGGCTACTTTGAGTCAGGTATGTCCTGGGTACTGGACATACTAGTACTTTACATTTCATCTTCACAGCGAATCATTTAACAGGTGAGAAAACTGAGGCTCAGGCAGGGTAAACGAGTTGCTTAAGGTGTTCAAGTGGCAGAACCAGACTTTCAACTTAGATCTGTCTGACTGTAAAGGCCCTTGCTCTTTCCCCTACACCAGCCTGTTTCTCTCAATCACGAGAAAACGGTGTTTCTGGAAAGGGACCGGAGGCCATGTAACCCCCAGGCAATGAAGACAGGCATCTTCCTTCAGCAGCCTTGGCAGGATGTGGTCTGTGGAGGCTGCCATGGGTTCCCTGCAGGATGGTGTGGGGCTCCAGCTCACTACTCTCCCAGCCCTTGGTTCAGAATGGGGCCCGGGAACGCAGTGGAGCAGAAGCAGGAAGCAGAAAAGAGCTCGGGCAAGGTGTGGTCTCCCAGGGCTGCCCAAAGCTGCCGCTGACAATTCCTAGCTTTGGGCTGGCGCCCTGGTTGCACAGGAATGTATTGACTTAGTGACCTTTTCCTGGGGAAGAGGAGCTGGCACCTGTGGAGGCAGCACCGCATAGAGAGACTCCTCTTTCCGCAGGGCACCAAAAGGACCCCTTGCTCACAGCCATCAGAGCCACTGTACAAAACCCACCACTGGTTGGGTTCTTTCTCATCTTCCTGGGCGTGAGTCACGTCTCTCAACTGTCAGAGAGCTATTACCCTGCATGAAGAAACAAGAGAGATTAATTGTGGTTGGACTGGCCTGTGCAGGTCCGCTGTGGACTCAGGCCAGGGAATTCTCCGAGCAGTCTTTTCATTCACCCTTCCATCTATCCACCCATCCATCCATTTATCTATCATCTGCTATGTCCAGGCACTGTGCTTAACCCCAGGGAGAAAAAAAAAAGGAATAACAATAGCCCCAATCCTGAGATTTGGGGGTTCCGTTACAGAAGACTAGACCAGTGTCCCCAGTCCTCTGCAGCTGGTGAATATAAATGGGGACCTGTTAGTTAAAATAACTGTCTCAGAACGTTAATTCCCTGCAGTGTCCCTCAAATATTTCTTGGAAGTTCCCAAGGAGTGTTTGACATTTAATCATCAACCAATCCATCAGTTTAACCAACCTTGACCCCTACCCTACAGCTTGCCCTGGTTGCCCCTTGTCATGAGTTCTGTAGAAATATCCAGAAAGGACAGTGCCCTTTCTGAAAAAGTCATGGCTACTTAAGTAGGGCTGCCCCAAGATCACATGCCTTCTGTGCAAAGTAGAGAAAGCTCTCCCTTGCTCTGCATGGACTTGAGCCCCACTCCCAGTCCTTTGTCCTGCTTCCCATGTGCAGAGTGATACTGAGTTCCATGCCCGGGAGGACAAAATGGCCTCTCACATTTGCATTGTGAAAAAGTGCTGCTTCCGCCCAGAGTCTACAATGCCTGTGACTCACAAGCATTTCAAGGAGCTTGGCAGAGAATGAATAAATGCCTCCTATGAACAGCCACAATATTCTCCCATCGCCCACTTTTCTCTTTCTTCTAATCCCACAACTCTCCCAAAGTTTTGCCTCTCCCAAAACTTCCAGCTTGTGCAAGTAGAATCCAAGAGGGTGCCCAGTCCACTGATTCTAACTCCCATTCTAAGCTCAGCTAAAACACTCTTGCATAAGTAACTGCCAT